GCTTTGAGGCAGTAATTCCTGTTTCTTCACTCGAGGTGACCCCTACAGCCCAGTCAGGATAACCACACTGCTCCAGGGCCTGTCGTGTGTGTGATTTCTCTTTCTGCCTGGCTCCTGGGTTTGTAGGGACACTGTCTGCTCTGTGGTACAGAGTCCTGATCACTCCTAACTTGTGTTCCAGTGGGTGGTGGGAGTCAAAACACAAATATTGGTCTGTGTGGGTGGGCTTACGAAATATGCCAGTTTCCAACCGTCCTCCATCCGAAACCGAGACATCGCAATCCAGGAACGCCAACCTGCCTACAGGTTATCACAGGTTGTTTGTGACATACAGTGACAAACTAACAAATCTAAAACACAAATATGCAAACAAAGCAAACAATTAGATTTATGTAGATATGTATTCACTTTAGGTTAAAAGTATCTACCTTTTTATAACCATCTACTTTGGAGGTTGGGGGTAATGTGTACTTTCTAGGCATATAGTTCAAATTTAAACCACAATCTGTTACCTTTAGTTGTTATAAAGATGCTGTAAGTATCAAGAATAGATATGAATTGCCTTGTAATTGGCCTCTGTCTCTTTAAGAACATCCTACCATTTCAGACACTCCCACTTCAGCACATAATGACACCACTGATTCAGGGGTGGGGCACTCTGTGGGGTAGGAGCTGGGCTGCAGACTGAGCTCCAGGGAGGAGCTAGGTAGGTGGTAGCCTGGTAAAAACCAGCCCCTTATCCTTTGCTTTGCTTCATACAAAGGTCTGGACTCTCGGCTATAGAGAAGTGATTCTTGCTGGAGGCGTGGCCTCTGCTGAAGTTTAAAACAATTGGATTGGTTGGCAGCGATATATGTGTGCCAGTTCCACTGTGAAGGAGGCTAAGCTAAGAAGCGAACCGGAAATTGCGTGCGCTAGCCGAACCGAGCTGTAAGACACTGCGCAGAAAATCGACATCGTTCAAAACTCCGCCTTCTGTTCTCTGATTGGCCCGGATGAAGTTCTTCTGACGAAATCCTTGTCTATGGGAGAAATCCCAGACGGAGCTGAGAAGGGAAACTGCGTAGGAAGGCAAGGGCCAGGCTAGGTAGGCGGTGCTTTGTGCCGCTAAAGATTTAGGGATTTCTCAAACATGAATGTTTGAGTCAAAGCAACACTCTGGGCATGTTTTTGATGAGGGAATGACATTATCAGGTGATATACATCTCAAAACTGTCAATTTTGAATAATCCTGTCCCCCTTTAAAATGACTCTGAAAGTATGGAAGTTTTGAAATCATTAAAACAAAACAAAAAAGCCTCAGATCACTTGGTAGCCTCATACAGCTTTTATAAGAAAATGTATTTCATGTTTTACATTTTTAAGTGCCTAAAATGTTGAAGGCTTGAGGTGCTTTCATTTTGTTCAGATACTGATGATATAAATCATGAGAATCTGTAAGTTACTGGCTTCCCAGCTTTTGGCAATAAATAATTAACAAACCCCGTCATTTCCAGACTCTAATGATATCATTTCCAGGGGTGTGATTGACACAGATGCAAAACTCTTTGTGACAAGTAACTCACTGCCATTTTGCTCACGTTTCTGCAGAGGGAGKTTCTGAGTATTTGGCCCAGTGCTGAAAAGTTTGTGGTAATCTTTGCATGTGCAAGTACCGTAAACTTTCAGGTCTAAAACTCAACCAGTTTCCTGTGCATATATCCAGGTTAGAAAAATGAAGATAACCAAATTTTAGCTGGGAAGTCCAGACCTCATTTAGAAGTTATGTCGCAAATTCTGTGACGTAAAAGTTCAGAAACTAACAGAAAATGGAGAAAACAGAATGTGTTGAAAATTTTGACCCAAACAGGATATAAAGATTTCATAAGAGCACCGGGAGAAACTAAATTTATATTTTCTGCACTCAACAAAATGGATTTAATGGCTAAAAAAAGTGAATTTTTCACTTGTCCCCTTTTAAGGCTGCAATCTTTGTTTTAGCCATGTTTGAGTTCTTGACATAAAAAGACATTAAATTTTAAAGAAAGATAAAATAATACAACACCAACTCCAATAGTAACTTTTATGCAGACAAGAGAAGCATGTTTGTGATTTACACACGCTGGCTTGTGTTGTTTTTGAAGTTTCATCACATTTCATCCGTTTGGGGAATCTAAAACATGAGAAATCTGTAAATCAAGCATTTTATATCTTTAGTCATCATTTGAACTGCGTTGCCCCGTGCACGGCTGGGTGTCCCATTAAACCAACTACCAGCTGAGATTTGACCTTTAGCTGCTGAGAACAAAGAGTCAACTGGCAAAGCTGGAAATGTTTTCGTCAAACAGAATTATAGATGTTTCTATTAGTTAAAAAGAGCCTTGGCCAGATGAAACTAAAAGCAGATTTATTGCGTTCTTTACACTCAACTTTATAGAGTCACACATGATCAAGGGAAAAAAATAAAAGAAAAAAAACTCCACGTTTGACACCAAACAACCTCTCAGAAACATTATCAGGGACTCATGCTGATGATAAAAACTAGCCTTAAACATGTGAAAAAAAAAACAAGTCACCTCTCTGACATGCAACACTTATATTTACAAGATTAACTTTGTGTTTTTACAACAATATCCAACAGTAAGACACATGAGAAACCAAAAAAATCTGTTGATTTTTAAATATATACATTAACTTACATTATCAATAGCTCTGTTTTTATCAACAACATGTACAATGCAGTGGAGGAAGTAAAAGTCCTCTATGCTACCCAGTTCCAAAATATCACGTGCTTCAGTCACATCACATTTTCTTTTGTTCCTTTATTTGGCTTTACAGCGTAATCAGCACAGATTCGCAAATTTACAAATTATTTTTTTCTGTACAGGTCCAAATAATCACAACACGAGGCAGTGGCTCCTCTTCTTACCCACGGATATACTGATGACTCATCACATTATGCTGAGGTTACTTATTAAGCTCGGAAAGCTCTGATGATCGTGGTTGGCTATTGGCAAGTTGAGCTTTAATACAGCCACCGTATGACAGATGTGTTAGAACATGTTCATCAACGAGGCAGACGGACAGGCGTGGAACCATCTGCGCTAAGATAACAAGAAGCACATCAGCAACCGATGCGGTTCACAGAGACTAAAACACCACAGCATGAGCTCCTTTAAACTGGAAAATAAAAATAAAAAAATCTACTCAGATGTTCAGCTTTGCTGTGTTGGGTCTCTGCTCTGTCTCTGGTGCAGGGCTCAGAAAGTTCAGGAGTTCAGACTATGGATCCCTTGGAGGAAGACAAGTGGATGGACTGGATGCGAATGGCCAGCGTTCTCTCCAGGGCCTGCAGGATGTCCGAGCCGGGGCTGTCGGGAGGAGCGTCGTACAGCAGCTGTTTGAACGGCTCCAGCTCGATCAGGATCACCATGTTCTTCAGGAAGTAGCCCTCGATGTAGGACGCCAAATCCGGGGCGTCAAGGAACTGTGAGGAAGGTGCAGGTTCAACAAAAGTCACCATTCGAACAGCTGATTTTATTAGTGCCAATGTTACAGTAAACCCATCTGTCTCGCTTTTTACTTGTACCTTTGTGTGATTGTAGAGCTCAACACAGGTTTCTGTGTTTATGTTCTTGGAGCAGATGATCTCACAGTGCCTCTGCAATGCTTCCAGCTGGAAAAACTTGGCTGCTGATAAGAGCTGGAGGAAATAAACTCAGTTAAAGTTGATTATTTGGTTTTTAATTATTTCTAAAAGGGGCTGTGGATGCACACATTAAACAGCACATTAAAACTGTTCAATGTAAGCCAAAATTTGAAGTTTTGCATTTGTGTGTGTGCATGTTTGAATAAATGTATGAAAATATGTATGTCTGAATGTGAGTGTGGTGCTTATTTGAGATCAGAAGAGAAAAAAACAATTTGGGAGGGGGGGTTAATTCTTTAAAAAAATATTCACTTCTGTTTTTACAGAGCAAATAACTAACATTAAATATAATTTTCAGTGCTCACATCTCTAATAAAAACATGTATTAAAACTAGTTAGCCCAACTGATATTTGAACTAAAAGATACAAAGAGATCTTTGATTTGAGATTTTTATATATTGATCTTCTTTTACCTCCGTTAAGTATTTAAATAAAATGGTGAATCCAAGAAAAAAAAAGGTTTTAAAAGTTATTTTTCTCAAACAGCTGTAGCAGTTTTATTATTAGTCTAACCTCCATAATATCAGTGTTCCTGAGGTGCAGAGCGTCTGTTCCTCCGCAGTACAGATACTGCATCACCAGCTGGACACAAGACACACAGTTACACAAACATATGTTCAGAAAACAGTTTCAGTGAGGTGAAGTGGATTAAAGTCTTTCACGCTGCTCTGAGCACTACCTGGAAGATGTGATATTTGACATTGCTGATTTCAATGCAAGTGTTTTCACCACAAGGCCTGTTTGCCAGAAGAGATTTGAATCTTGAAGGTGGAGGAAACAAAGAGTCACATTTTAACGACGCAATAATAGAAAATGTAAGTTTTTGATAACATGCATAAAAATAAATCAGAGTTTCAGTGTATTTTGTAGCACCTGGTAAGAAAAAAACCTCAATCTGAACCTCCTGCTTTTTGATTGTTGATGTTTAARTACCTGTTGGAAGCGGTGAAGAGGAGGACTTTGTGGGCGTAGAAAGGCTTCCCCTCCACCAAAAAGGTCACATCAGACATCTCTTTATTGTTCAGGAAGTGAGGATCTGAAACAAACATGAAAAGCTCGATTTGTTTTTTTAATTACTCGTTTAAAAAAATTCAGCATCACCCCAAATCCTGCACTTTTTTTTTACACTCAGTCGAGGTTATTCATCATGTTGTGTTTTCTGTTCCAGTCTGAAAACACTAGATGGTGTTATGAACACTCCTTTACAGTTAATGTATTTCTTAGGAAGAAATGTATGGAGTTAAATCAGTGACAGCTTAAATTGATATTGAAAAACAGATTTGGCATTGAAAAATGAAACATTGAAAAATGAAACACTGAAAAATGAAACTTTGAAAAGATTTTAGCATTGTAACTTTAAAATGCCAAAATCTTTTCAAGGTTTATTTTTTCAATGTTTCATTTTTCAATGTTGTGTTTTTCAATGACAATGTTTTGTTTTTCAATGTTCTTTTTCAGTATTTCATTTTTCAATGTTTAATTTTTCACTGTTGTGGTTTTCAGTGACAATTTTTGTTTTTCAATGTTTCTTTGTTCAGTGTTTCATTTTTCAATGTCTAATGTCTTTTTCAATATCCATGTAAGCTGTCACTGATTGGTCAGTGTATCTTTTGGTCATTGGATTTTCGTTTTTGAAACGGGTATTAAAAAACAAGAAACGATTAGATATTTGACTTTTGTTTTAAAATACTGAAATTAAAATTAAAATATAAAGCGTTTCTCATTCTTAGTTCATTCTTAGTTCATTCTTAAGGGATGAACGAAATTTTTAAAATGATTTGAGTTTCATTTTCTGTTTCAGATAACAAAAAAGAAAATTAGTTTAAGGCAGAAACGAAAAAAAGCTTGTTTGTTYATAATCCATGACAGGTCGTGCCAACTTACTGTMTCCCTACAATAAACTGTTTCACCACCAGAAGTGGTGTCTGCAAWATCAAAGTTATTCAATGAACATCCCATTACAAGTAAAAAGCATTGATRYTGACTTCGGTAKCAAWTAWATTTGCCAAGTATTTATTTGGWAYYAGATCAATATYRAAGTCGTAGTCCTGCCCACCCCTCACTGAAAGGAAAACCCAGAGGACGCAAACTGACAGAAAAAAGCAGAGATTTTGTCAAAACTCAGGAGGATAAAAACCTTTGTGCTCACAGAACAACAACTGTACAACACACTAATAGAATGAAATTTATCTTATTTTGCTTTTTATTGAGAAAAATGGAGATGAAACATGGAGGCAGTAGCCGACATGTATGTTAAAGAGACTTATTTGGCCAAAAACCACATGAATTATCTCTGCAAAGCCTTTGGTCACAGAGAGACAGTCATCATACAACTTATTTATGGACATACTTCTCTGTGTTTCAGCCTCTTATTTACAGAAATTAGTGTTTCATTATGCAGAGCTGTCAGGCAAGCTCCCCTTCTGGTGGGGGAATACAAAGTGGTAGAATACAAACAAACAAGCCTTTTTCCGTTTCTCTCTTCAAGTAATTTTCTTTTTTGCTATCTGAAACAGAAAATGAAAYTCAAATCATTTTTTAAAATTTTGTTTATCCCCTTTTGACACTAAGAATGAGAATGGCTTTGTATTTTAATTTTAATTCCAATATTTTAAAACAAAAATCAAAAATCCACTCGTTTCTTGATTTTTAATACCCGTTTCAAAAATGAAAATCCAATGACCAAAAGATACACTGACCCTGATTTAACTTCATAAAACACCTCTGAACGCATGTAAACTGTAATACAGATATAAAGACTTTTATGATTTTTCTAATGTTGTACTTTAAAACTGCTAAAGATAAAAAAAAAGTAAAATAAAATCTCACCCAGGCGTGACGACTGCTTCCTCTTTATCTCCGACAGTTTGGGGATGGGGTATGGGCCGTAGCACTGGGTGAAGATGGCAGACAGCTGCTGACTGATCACTTCATTCTGACGACACAAAAGAACAGAATCACAAAGGAGGTGAGCGCTCTGCGACACAACACGGAGAGGTCGAACTCCAGCAGCGTTCACTCTGTTCAAACTGCCTTTCCATTAAGCCGCGCAGTAATGGGTATGTCACGTCTTTGAAAGGAGATCAAAGAATATTACACTTATTTCTTACAGCGGCATTTCCTTAGAGAGCACTGTAATGGAAAACAGAATGACAGCTCAATCAGCTGAAGGAGTGCGAGAAAAAAAGAAAAAAAACGGCACATAGTGAAAGACCTTCCTACATTTTCTATGTGTTTGTTTGCAGGCAGTTAGCAAGACTACAAGCCCCACATGTGCAATCAGGCTGCTAACACTCATTGAAGCGTGACGGCAACAAACATCCATTAACAGCTTTATAATCCACCAGGATCAAATACTGTGTGCCGCAGCCACACACTTTTTAGGATCCTGATCATTCCAGGACGCAAGTTTTGCAGCATCAGATGATGAGCAGCGTTACTCACTTCAGCTGCAAACAATTTTATGGCTGATCTGTGCAAACCTAATATAGACAACCAAATAAATGATTGATGATATACGATAACTAGATTGGTGACAGAAAATAAAAGCAGCTTATCATAAAGCATTATGATTTCAGGTAATTACTATTGAGCGAGGCTGAGAGTGAAGAGACCGAAGCCAAAGCTAAATGACATATGACTCAAAGTGAGTATTTTTTTTTATTGAAGATCGTAAAATTGTGATGTTTTGTACTGGGACAACTGGAAAAGCCAGAACACAAAGAGCTTTAAGGTGAGAGCAGTGCTGGCTCTAGCCTTTTTGGTGCCCTAGGAGAGCTGAAGCGCAACCAACACCCCCACCCCACGAACTATGTCCCACCCATCACAATTTGAACCCATTAAAACAAGTTTGACAGTGTAAGGTACTATGGTAAACTTAGATTTATTTGCCCCACCCCACCCCACCCCCGCATGCGAGTTGTATGGATTTTTTGCTAAATTTACAGATTTTTGAGGTTTTTATACAGGTAAATGTCCAAAGAGGTTGACACGTATGGGACAACAAAATACAGACTTGTTGTTATTGAGTTTGTCAACATGAACCGCTACCTGAGAGGCACTACTAGCCCCTCCCCCGTCAAGTAGTTTATTTTTCCTGTAATACTTCATTGCAGTTTTTTAAGACAAAGCTAAKTGAAAGGGGCGCTGAGCAGAGTTACAACCAGGGATTACAAACAATTACTTTTTTTCTTCTGCAGTTTGGTGCTCCCTCCAGCAGATGGCGCTCTAGGCAACCACCTAGTTTGCCTATGCCAAAAGCCGGCTCTGGGTGAGAGGCAGTCAGTGAGAGTACCTTGCTGGCCCTGAGGATCTGGAACATCAGAGGCAGGCCGTGTGTGATGAGCTCTTCAGTGTACTCTTCCTCTTCGATGCAGCTGAACTCTTTCAGGAGACCCTGGATCAGAGGCCGGCGGTGCTGATGGAAACACGTCCGCAGAGACTCCAGCCAAGTGTGCAGAGTCCACGGGACCCCTGGGCAACCATTCCAATAATACAGTATAAACACATAAATATAAAACGATAAAAGGCTGTATGTCACGCGCTGTAAATAAAAACCCACCAAGGCTCCGTATATCTATGGTGATGTCAACATGCCCGTGTTCAGAGCTGTGGTACATGGCTTCTTTAAGGGCTTTAAGTTTGGCCTTTCCGGTACGGATCAGGTCAACCTGAGACGGACTTCCACCTTCCAGCTCCGAACCTTCTGCCAGAATCTCTTCCAAGGACAAAACATCCCCTTTGCCCGTCTCTGTATGGGATAGCAGCTTACGAAACACATTTCTACAGGCACAAAAACAGAAAATAATATTTTTAAATCTTATTAATCTGCATTGATCTTTATGATTATAGTCTTAACCAAAGAGGAGTTTGGGCATGGCAGTGAAGATAACGGAAGTTAAATGTCTGTTGCTGAGTTATGGTGATTATTGGGACAGACCACTGGATAAYTGATGATGAGTGGCTACGATCGTTTCCAAAAAAGGCTGTGAAAAACTGGTAGCTGCTAGACAAGGATGCAGAAATGCATAGATTGGAAATTATTATCATGTTGAAAASTGATGTTAAAAGCTTCTCTCTTTGTTGATTTGTAATACTAGAGGCAGTGATGAAACATGAGACTGCTGGGCTAAAAACAGCCYGCAACATCTGCAAAATGGGGTTGAAACTAACTTATATACTAACAAAACACAGTTATGTCAAATGGATATTCCAGGTAATTTGAATAGGTTTGACTACTCAAAGTCCTTCATGCTTCAGCAGCAGACAGCTCACTCAGCAACACTAACTAATGATTTATTGCGATGAAGAATTACACCATGTTACTAATGCATCAGAAGGTGATTAACATCTTTGTTTTCCTGTTTATTTATTGTAAAGTGTGTTGACTAAAAATATATATTTGAAAGCTACCTGTGCCCATGAGCCGCAGCCAGGCTGTAAGAGTTCATGTCTCCCTGTGGAGCGGTGGAAATCCCGTTACGGTACATGGTGCCCACCATGGGGTCGGCCCCTCGCTCCAGCAGCAAACTCACCAACTCGAAGTTACCTGWGCAGAAATTAAAAACAAACACAGTTGTTGGTTTAAAACTGAACAAGACTGAGATTTGTCCGCTTTTATTTTTGTTCTCCAGCCTTTAATATGGGAGCTCATGCTTCAGTCGGATGTTGACAGGTGGTCCAGCAGCCGACTGATTCTGGACAGGAGTCTGAAAGACCGAGGATGGTGCTGTGTGTCCGTACCTGCAGCGGCTGCCAGCTGCAGAGGCGTCTCTGTGTAGTTTTCCATCCCGTCCTGCAGRGAACCCTCCACGTTGGCTTTGGCATCCAGCAGCAGCTGCAGGCCGGAGAACAGACGGGCACAATGGGAGAGGAGGAGATGAAGCAGGTCAGTTAACCAACCAGTCTCATTTAAAGCAACCAATCAACACATTTCAGATGTCTGAACTATTGAATTTGTTGTGTGACGATAAATCACTGTCTTCCCAATTTAGCCTAAAGAAAAGCTCCAATAATGCCTTTTGTTTGAAAATTAGATTTGCCATTTTTTGGTAACATTTATCATCACATTGGTTAAATATTCATTCTTTATAAATGATCATGCATTTCTCTCTGGAAATTGTCTTTTATAACAAATAAGGACAATTTCCTGAAGCTAATATTATCATCTAATAGGATGACAAATGACTTAATGGTTAAATTAATAATGTGTWAAACTTTGCATGGAATCATTAATAACTCCCATCTTGTGGCAATGCATGTAAAGATTTTTAAGATTTTTTTCTGAACATAACCTTTGTAACTGAGTTTCTTTATATAATGCCTCCACAGGGTCAACTACTTTGTCACAAAGCTTAAACATTTTCCATTAAAGTTTATTGATTCAGTGCTGAGGGCAAACTGAAATAGTTAAACAACTTCAATACTAATTAGGCTGCAGAGTTTCCTCTTTCCACTTTCTAAATGCAGTTTAATCCATTTTCCAAAAAGTCAAAATGTGACAGAAGTAACTGAGTAAACTCCATCTTTAAATGTCAAAAAGGTCTAATTTTAAACTACAGGGGGGGAAAAAATCTCCATTTTTTTCAGAAAAAGAGAGCAACGGGAGAGAAACGAAACAGTCAGATGGCAGAGATGACAGCGATGACCAACCATGAGCTGAAGCACAACAACAGGTCACGATGAGAGTGAGCACTGATGTCACTACCTGCACCACAGGCACATGTCCGTGCAACACAGCGAAGGTGAGGGGCGTCGCCTGCCGCGTTTCGGGAAAGATTGAGGGATGCTTGTGAACTGTGTTTGGCACCTGGGGAAGGGTAGGGGTGGGGTGGGGGGCACAGGTGGGTGGGATGGACGGGTAGAAGGGAGAAGGATGAGGGAGAGAAATACCAAGCCATTAAAACTACTACATGGACAACGGGACACGAGACAGGCAGCTGCAGGGAGGACAAACAGGGGAGAGGACAGGAAGCTACAGGAGAGTGATTAACCCTGCGGCTGGAGAGGACGTCCTGCCCCACCCCCACCCCCCAACCCCTCATTCAACCTCTAATGAACTTAATGGATTGATGTGTTTTGGTAGGCCTTGTTTTAATAGTTTCACTCTGATCCATTGTGCGTTTCTGTGATGGGGGCTCTGACCCGACAACTCCAAGGCTCTGATAAGATTGATCAAATGGAAGCAGGGCGATCACATGAGCAAAGCACAAAGAGACACATTTTCTCCTTCAGGAAGAAGATCTGAGCTGCAGATGAGACACACGATTACAACAGTTTGGTGGCAAATGATAACAGTGAAAAAGCAATAAATGTTACTTAAATGGGATGGCAACAAAATACAACAACATGCAGACTTTTAGAGGAAACAATGTCAAATAATGATACAGTTTGGAGAAATTATCCTTTTTGTTTTTCTTCTCTCTATTAGAAATAAAGTTCCTAATTTCAWTTACAAAAGCTGTTTTTAGACAAGTTTTAATATTTTATTTTAACTTGAGTCCTCCTTGTGTTTTCTGTGAATGTACAAAAAAAATCACCTCAAAGTTTTAGCTCAGGTCAAAACTGACTTATGCAGCAAATGTTTGCTGAGTAAAGTGCTGAACAAAAAGTAAAATAAATGAGTCTCAAGAATGTAACTAATGAACCATGACATTAAACTGAATGACTTATATTTATGCAGCTCAGCCTCACAGAGCAGAACCACTTGTGTTCTGATTCACAGGAACCCACATGGATTTGATGCTTTGATTCAATCGGCTCAAGAGCAAACCTAATATCACATACTGTTTTAACAGGCCAGGGTCATGAGGGAGGCCAGTTTTCTTAGCTGAAGACTCTGTGGGGAATCCACTTTGCTTTAAAGTAGACATATCATGCAAAATCCATTTTTTAGGCTTTAAATGCATTTTGTTGTGTACCTGGAATCTCTAGGAGTGCAGCAAATTTGAATTTATTCTCTCCAGGTGCTGCGTAGATATCTTTATATTTGATCATATTTATAAGGCTCGTTCCATTTCCTTTATTTTCTATGATGGTTTCTGAACTATTGCATCCAATTATTTACAACAGAACTGCCAAAAGGTCTGGACTTGCCAACTCCAATTTGGTGGTCTTCTTTCTCCTCTGGCTCWGGGTCAGACTCAGGCTTCAACATGTGAGGCTGGATGTAAGTCTTCCCTTGTTGACATTGTTTTAATTAATTTGTAAATAAAACGTTTCTCTGCTATATAGTTGTAAACTCCTTTATCTAACTAAAATGGAAGCTGGAACCTTGTTTGGATTTAAAGAGACAGCCTCAAAACGAGTTGATCTGTGACACCTCAGAAAATGGATGAAAAAGGGGGGCTTGTGGAGTTACAATAAGAAGGAATTCAGACCAAAACTGCAGTTCCACTTTATATTGACCCCAACTGAATGGTTTAAATGTGGAAAAAGAAGGATTAAAAAGCAGGATATGTCTCCTTTAAATCTACCAATTTATTTTTTGTTTTCCTGACAAAAAATGCAGTAACAAATTTCTAAAACACTCAATTGAAAGYTATTTGCTGTTCTTCTAGACAGCCTCATGATCCTCACCTTTACAGGCATGAGAAGTGGGAGGGAACAAGAGGGGATGATGGATGACAWGTTTGTCTTTCTCCAGCTCAAGAACACTTTATCCTCATTCTTATCCACCCGTTTACCCGCCGCTTGTTAAATCAATCACACTGCTCAAGCACCGCCTACTCAGATCAAGAAAAAACTTTTCCGTTTCTCCTTTTATCACTGACCTCRCTGTTGATATCTGCTCCTGCGTCCAGCAGCATCTGTACCATGGCTTCATCCCCACGAACACAAGCGTACATCAGCGGAGTCATCCCCTACCAGAGCAAAGGTATATAAAAAAAATAAAAATATATACATATATAAAAAATAACACATTGTTAGAATYCTTCATTTTATACAATCTGCAAACAGCTAATTAAGCTTGCAGTTTTTTCGATCAATGGGCCTCATGCAGGAACATGTTCGTATTCTTATCCTAAATTTATTTTGATCATACAAAGGGTTCGTACGAACATGTCACGTCAGATTCAACAAACTCTTCTATCTTCCTGAAAAGTGTGTAAATGAGCTGCGTAAATTCCACGTGTTCGTATCCAGCTGCTCGTGCTCGCGAGAGGAGATTAGCATAATTACCACCCCAAAAACACCATATAAGGCCATGTTTCCTGCCTCAGATATCAGGAAGTGTCCATTCATGAAAATGACAGCAAAAATTCAAAAGAAAAACTTTACGAGTTCAGAGATTGAAKTCCRTCTGTCAGAGATCCAGAAAAGAAAATCTGTCATTTTTAGCAGGTCAGCTGTGGAATAAAAAGAGCTGCTAAAAGTATAAACAACTGTGTTAAATAATTTTCATTTATTCAGAAGCCACACCGTCGCACACCCGCCCCAACGCGGTCTCAAGTGGTCTCAGTTGCGGTTCTGAAATAAGCATCTTAAAATGTTTTCAAAATATTTCTGGCACTTTGGAGAAAATCCAGGACTTGCTGGAGGGATTATGTATCCCCTCTGGCCTGGGAACGTCTCGGAGTCCACCAGGACGAGCTGGAAGGTGTCGCTGGGGAGAGAGGGGTCTTTCTGCTGCTGCCCCTGTGACCTGATAGTGGATAAGCGGCGGAAAACGGACGAACGGACAGTTTATATTATTAGTCTAAATTATTACATTTAAAATTATAACTCTAATTCAAGCAGAATAGCCTATTGTCAACATAATTATGGAGTGTGATTTATTTTCAACTCAAAATATCTTCAAACTAATGAAATATAAAGTTATTAGGGAGGAAAATCAGTCTGGATAACAGCAGACTGACTGCTCGTAAAATATATGACAGGTCTGGACCACTCGCGAATTTTGTTCGTATCTGAAAAAAATCTTAGAATACGAAAACATTGGTGAATGCCACAAATTCTCCTAAATCACTCGTACGCACAATTTAAGAACAAATCTGTGTGTACGAACGGTTCTTGCATGAGGCCCAATGAAGTAAAATGATACTAACTTGTATTCTTGAAAGACTCTACTCCAGTCATTGGCTTTGCTGGGAGTAAAATTCAATTAAATCGATTTTTTCAGCTTGTTAAATATATCTATATTCCTTCTGAGCTATCTGCTGCAGGAGGACAGTCTGAGAGAAACATTTGGTCCAGGACTCTGTTTAAGTTTAGTAAAAAATAAATAAAAAAAAACCACCCCTCCAGCTAAATGTTGATTTTTTTTCATGGAAAACTGAGTTGTGATTGCAGTATTCCCCTGATGATTTCCTGTACTGGAGCTTGATAGTCATGATATAATGACGGGTTACTTGGCAGGAGTGCTGCGGGCAAAACAGCCCAGAAGATTCTGATATRTGCAGCTGCCTTCTGCTCGCAAGTCAAGTCTGTTCTGAAAAGGTGAAGGAGCCGCAGTTTACCAACCAAACAAAATCTGCCTCTTGCTGAGCRTAACGTATGCATGTGCGTAAACATGCTGGTGGTTTTGCGTTATTTACGGTAATGTGTTGACTGTGTTTCTAACCTGCTCATTCATGCTGTTGATTCCATCTGGCCCGAGCAGGTTGATCGCCTGGTTTACCAGGTCCGTGCGCCCACAGCTGAGCATGCGGAAGCCCAAGTCCTGCAGGAACTTTGCCTCGGTAGAAGCAGCATCCAGTTTCCTCGAGGCACAGAAGCAGTCATCCGTTCTGAAGGGAAAGGCACACACACACACACACACACACACACAGAGACTCATGGTGCATCATGGTTAAGACTAATCTGAGTCACTTTAAAGGGAGATCTTATTTTTTCCAATTCAATACCAAAGTGAAGTAACTATGTTACCTTCAGTTGTTATGAAAATGCTTCGTATATCAAAAATAAATTTKACTTTGCTTCATCATCATAAACGCCGTAAAATTGGCCTCTGTCTCTTTAAGAAACTCCTATCATTTCAGACACTCCCACTTCAGCACGTCTTCACAGCAATGCTTCAGGGGAGGGGTGCTCTGTGGGGCGGGAGCTTAGCTGGAGACTGAGCTCCAGGGAGGAGCTTTGTACAAATAGGCGGAGCTTTGTACCAGCCAGTGTTTAGGCAGCTCCACATGGCTACCACAGGAGATTCAAGGATTTCTCAAACATGAATGAGTCAAAACAACACTGGGTCTGTTTTTGATGAGGGGATATCATTAAAACATGATATAAAGCTCAAAAGTGTTGATTCTGCATAATACGCCCCCTTTAAAAAGAGAGTCATTCCTTTATATTATGACTAGCTTAGGGTATTGTGATGAAGAAACGATTCAAGGCAATCAGTTCTTAGATTAAAAAAAATTTTTTATTTAACTTACGCTTTCTGCCACATTTTTCTTAAACATCTTTCACATTAAATGAAAAGTGAGCAAAACAGAAAGAGAGTCTCTGCAGCCTGAAATTAAGCAGAACTTTCAGAAGTGTACCTGAGCTGGCGCGGCTCACAGTCCACTCCGGGCAGCAGCAGCCTGGCCGCCTGCCGAACATCGTCGCTGTCCACCGTGAAGCTCCGTCTGTGTTCAGTGTGGACCACGGCCACTCGCACCCATTCCATCAGAGGCGGCAGCACCATGAACGGTCTGTAGGGGGAGACAGAAGAGTAGAATCCAAACCCCCAAGTGTATGCAGGCATTTGCTTAGAAAATCCACCTGACTCAGAATTTGCAAGGGTTTTTTTTTTTTTGCCTGGATGCTCGGGAACAGGCTGATGTCTGTTTAGAGAATAAAAAGACAGACTGGATGCCATTAATGTTTGCAAAAAGTCGAGGAAGAAGTTAATGATGCATTAATTGAGTTTTTCAGTCACTTTGGTTTATTCTGGTGAACTGAAGCCAGCTAGAGAGAGTGGTTAATCTTTAAAAGTGTAGCTTTTGATCATCTGACATTCAAACCCAAATGTGTTGTGCTTCATGAATTCAGTTCATTTAACAATAATTAATTTGTCTCTGTTTCTTAAAATGCATAGTAAATTGAATGCACCGTGTATGTTGCTCTTCCTGTTTTGCATGTGATTGAAAGGGTTTGTGAACATCGCGATCCATATGAGTTACTGCACAACAGCATGCATTATTTATGAGGGCTCGGCGCCTGTTGAAGGTAAACTAAAGGTGCAGTGATGTATTTTCTCAGATGCACTGTGGCACTCAGACAGAGGCGGCAGAAATCCATCACACAGTTGAACCCGACACAAGTGAAACGTCTGCGAGACCAGGGCCGTCATTTAAATAGTGGTAGAAGAGGGAAAGTCATGGTGTGGGCTGGGTTGGAAACCAGTGCAATGCAGCCAAAGAATCCTAAAATTTACTCAATTTTTATCATATTTGTATACAGCTATAACTAAATGACTTTGGAGYCAMTCCCATTTAAAATGGAGAAAACCCAAACATGGGTTTGATTTAACCAATTTTACAGGTATTACAGTAAGTTCAAGTCATGAAAGGCACTGGCAACAAAATGAAATTTTATGACTTTTTATGTTTTGCTCATATTCCACAAAAAAGAAACTTAAAACAAGGTTAAGAAGTTGCAAACGTTGTGTCACTGATACAGAACACTAGTTTTTATTTTTTTAACAGTTGCTGCTTTAAATGTCAGAAATAATGAGACATGTCCATCATTTCCACCCCAAAGGCTGTTCTGGTAAAAATATGAAAAGTATGAATATATTAAAAACATTTTTCCTCTTGGCCTCCTGTCTGATTCTGTCCTGCTGTCATTAACCAGATAAATACATCTGCGTTATGTCCAGTTTTGACCTTTGTTTCAACTCTAACAACTTTCTCCTTTTAAGGAAAACAATCCATGTTAATATCCACATCGTACACCTGCTTCCTTTTGTTTAGGGTCATGAAGAGGTTAAAGCAGTGATCTGCAACCTGCGGCTCTGGGGCCACATGTGGCTCTTTGGCCCCTCTGCAGTGGCTCTTTGAAGCTTTGACCAAAACCAACATGGGATAATTTGGGTTGATTTTTTATACCCACAATGGCAACGGCTGGCTTTTGCAGTTTTCCTGTCAATTTGTTGGCAAATATGTGATCAATAAACTCGGAGCAGCCCACAGGTCACCAGTTGATAACAGTTGTAGCWTGTTTTGTTGCTCCGGTCACATTTTATTGGTGAGCCAAGTAGCAGAAATGGATGTTTTGATTGTAAAGGTTGCAGACCCCTGGGTTAGAGATTATAACTATGACAGAGCAAGAGCAGGAAGCAGATTAAACCCTAGAATTGGACATCAGTCCATCACAAACAGGGTTAATGTTGAAAAAAAAAATCAACTTTCACATTTATGGTCAATAGAGGCACCCTGAGAAAGTGCAATCATGAGCGCCTGTTTATTTTTAAAAGCTATTTAAATATATAAAAACTAAGTTAAGAAGAATTATCTAGGCCCTCAAATTGGAGCACTACATATGCTTATAATACCCCCAATTAAATCAGTTTAAAAAACTAACAAGTTGGTTTGTTTAAAATATATGTATAAAAAATAAACATTTGTTTTTAGATTTATTGATCAGTGTGTTAGGATGCCTGCTATCCTGACCGTGCTTGGTTCTCTGCTGTCAACAAAAACAATATTTAGTGGTGGGCAGCACTAATCTAAAAATTGGTTGCACTAACCCTAATTCTAAAGCACTAACACACTTAAAAATTTAGCAAAAGCTAATTCTAAAGCACTAAAAACCCAGCTGATGCACGGAATATTCCTCAGAGTCAACATGAGACAATATTTTCTTTGTGCAGAATATTGTTAATATTTCATCTCGTGTAGAGGTTCCCAAAGTTGGAGTCGAGACCTCTTTGTGGGTCACAAAACATCAAGTGAGGGTCTCTAGATGATTTCCAGACATCAATTTAAATGCAAAAAAAAAAAGCTAATGGAATATTTTCATCATGATTATTGCAATTTTTTGAAATGAACATAAATGAACAAAAATTAGTATCATAGTTACTAGGTAAGTTTATAGTTATTGTTCCCATGTTTAACAGAGTTATTAGAAAAGTTTGCATATGAAAATGAGTAATATATGGGGTCTCGAGTGTCTGCAACCGATATTTTGTGGGTCGGAAGCAAAAAAGTTTGAAAACCACTCATCTAGTAGATAAGTGACATGAATATGAACAACATGTCTGACAGCTTTCACCCTCAGCTRTTGACAATAATGTTGATCAATAACATTTAAAGAACTAAATTAGTGCTTTTAAATTCAGCTCATACATTTAGCAAGTGCTAATCCACTAATAAATTAAGAAATTGGCAAAAGCCCTAAAGCACTAATCARAAAATTAGTTCCMCTGTTAGTGCTTTAGTGCTTTAGGGGAACTGTGCCCACCACTGACAATATTTAACAYTTCTCTGAGCCGATGGGACTTTTGATTTGGTTTAAACAGAGCCTGACCCAAAGCCATGTGACATATCAGTTCCAGAGACTTCATTAAAGCAGCATGCAGCACCTCATCTACAGGCCGGGAACGTGCAACATAATGATTCTTCCTTTATAAGCTTGATGGAAACTTCAGTTCACAAGCAGTTCAAGGTCTTTCTTTCGGAGCAGCAGAAATCTCCCAAAGGAAACTTTCACACAGGGTTTCCCTAAACTTCACTCTGCCCCTGCCCTTGTGCTTCAATCTAACTAAAGCAAACCTGAGTAAATGTGATGTTTGTGACAGACAGTGCACTGAGCGGGTCACCCGGGACTCAAAACAGCTGAAAAAGCAGCTGCACTGCAGGTGAAAGTCTGGACCCGAGGCCCAGAGGAGGACTGTGTAGGATCAACTGTCAGCCCTGGTTTTAACCAATGGAAACTGAGGGGGGGAGGTCCACAATGTGTGAGAAATACTGAGCATACAAAGCGTGAATAAAAAGAAACAGCTCATAAAAGCAGATGAAATGTGTTTCATGTGTAAAAGAAAAAGTAAAAGGTCTCCTTTGTACTTGCCTGACTGTGGAGATGACGTGTGAATTAAAACTATAAAACTCTTACCTCATCCATCCATCATTCACACACAAAACCACCAGCAAAATCTTTCTTCCCACCGRGTCACTTCAGAACCCAATCAGTTCACTTCTATAAAACTGAGCTTTCCATTCAGAGGCAGCGCGTGTCGTTTCAGGTTTGAGAGCAGAAACACGATAAAAGGAGAGTCTGCAGAGGTGTACTGTTGCAGCCCAGTGACCTCAGCAGAACCAGCAGGCTGCGTCTATGAGCTGAGGTGAAAAACAGGACAGAGCCAGGGGAGTAAATTGTGTTTAACTGTGGGGACTTTCCACGTCTCCTCACAAAGTTATCATTCTGTTTTATTAATGTTGTCCCAGAGAGCTTTAAAGGTGTTATTSATACCTTCCCTGCAGCGCAGAAAGAAGTGAAATAATGTGATCGTGGATGCACCTTCATAGTAACTTTTGCAGTCAAACCCAATCAACGCTACAGCTAATCAAGCACACCCAAACAAATAACCTAGATTATTTTATAGCAGTTTTAGATACTGAGCTAATATTTGCTGTTGTGTGTAATATGCATYCATCCCTTTAATTGCTTTCTGTTTATATCAATCAGTTTACTTTTCTCTCCTGCTTTAATWTTGTTTCTTTTTGGWATRTTATGTAGCATCTTTAGTAAATTTGAGTTTTTGGAAACATTTTAAAACTTTCCAAAAATTGGGTTCTCTGTGTTTCCTGTGCCTCTGCTTCTCTCTGTCTCTCCACACTACTGTTACTGTATACACTGTTGTACCCTGTTTAGAGGCCTCATACATGTATTAACAAACACCATTCTGTCATCTTAGCGAGATTTGATACAAGGTCAATGGAAAACACAAAGATAAACACAAGTGATATCTAAGAATGATTATTGTTAGCAAATCTTGTTCTGACTTTAATCATTCTATCTGCAGRTGAACAGCATGTCATGAAAACCTAGGTCATTAAAGGATGTCATGAATTACTTGCTCAAACATAAAAGCATTAGTTCCATTACAGGTTTAAACAACTATTTGTAGGAGTATTTTAAAAGGCCAGAAAGCAAAAAAATGAGACCCACACAGCCAACAGCCTCATCAGAAAGGCTGCACCAGAACAATGRTTTTGATTAGCTGTAGATGTGTCAACAATGCAAACACAATAGTGTTAAAKGTATTTATGAAACTGTGAAACAGGAGAAAACAGATGCATTGACCTTCTAACAACATATATAAGCCACCCAGCTCTTTATAACACCATAAACTTCTAACTTGATTGGTAATCTGATACAATGCTCAGACATWTAATCTTAAAATGTGTAACTTTACCAGACAGTTTCAAGAGAACATTACCTTTTCACTGTTAAACTTGTCTGATAAGTTCAGTTTCTGTCAGAGTTTTTATAAGACTTTGCATCAGTTGACCTTTATTATGAATATGAACAAAGTCTGAGTTTCAGACCAGAACCTCAGCTCCCTAATTACAGTCTGAGACTTTAGCAAAAGTCATCGGGGGGCTTAAAGCTTCTGAYTGGCTTTCTGTTTCATCTGAACAAAAAGGTAAAACAGCAACTTTACTCTCTGTTTTTTACAAGAATTCTTCCTGAATCTTCTCTATTTAAGGGCTATTCAACTAGACTGCAAATGGGGCCACAGTTACAACNGACTCTAACTGGAAGATCTACCCATTACTCACCTCTACCATTACTCTGTTCCCAGGTCCCGTCCCCAAGACCCCTGCACCTGTATATAATAAACTCACTTACTTTTTATATTACATTCTCAGTCTCTGCTTTATTAGTATCTGCTCACGTTGACATTTTTCTGCAACCTGATAACAACAAGTATTATTATCTTGTACTTTTTAAATTTGTTTATTTTGTTGCGTTAAACTCTAAACTGAAAATTTACAGTTGATTCAAAGTTTATTTTTACATTAAATTAAGTAACGCTTACGAATATGTATATAGAATTTTCTTTCAGTTTCAGAATCAAATTAAATGAAAAAGAGCTGAATGACATAATTGCGAAAAAATTAATGATTAAATTAATTATACTGAAATCACGTGTCATTCCTAAAGGAAGGTTTTCAGTTCTTTGTGTGAGGTTAAAACAAWACATCGGAGTGYCCTAAAGCTCTTCTTTCTTGTGTTTGTTTGTCTTGCACGTGTTTGTGTCTCACCTCTCTGTCAGCAACGTGACCTTGGAGGGCTCAACGTTTGGGTTCTCCCACTCCATGTGAGGGCAGTGCATAAAGTAACACAGTGTGTAGATCGCTTCAGGTGCCCAGTGGATCACACAGCTCTTTGGATGGATCGGCGTCCCATTGCTCTGATTCTTCATATACAACGGGTGGAGGTGGTGCATGGCTCGGGACACAAGATCACCTACACACACATACACACACATGGATCGAGCTAAACATTAAACACAACAGGAAAATGGCTGCTGAGAAAGTCACTGGCACATTCAGCAGATAAGATAGAAAATACAATATGGTGCACATGTTCTCTAAAAATATATCAACTTTCTTATTTCTCCTTTGTCAGGGAAAATTAATAGTTTCCATGTGTTACRGCACAGAACAACAGTCATTTCTGAGCAGTTCAGAGGGGCAGAGCAGGATGCTGAGCACATATTTATGGATAAACAACAGCTAATCTGAGCTACATTGTACAGATAATTGTGTGAATGTTATTAAGCATTCACACAATTGAGATTGGCCATTTTTCCTACACGTGTTTTGGTATATGTATCTCATTCAGTTACTTCAGGACATTCAGGGTATGTCTTTTAGTATTTCAGTAATTTATACTTTTTGAGATATTTAGCCTTTTTGGACATTTTTTTAATTGAAAGTGAGCAGAGCTCCATTTAACATCCAGAAAATCTTTTATATTGTTTATAAGCTTTTCCTGCACTTTTCACCTTTTGTTTTTGTTCTGCATTTTTGTGCTATTTTCAGCTTTTTTTCAGCTTTTCAGCTATTTTTCTGCTCTTTACAGTTGAGGTAATATTTACTGTTTAAAACCTTTTGTGCTTCTGTCAGCTTCTTTCTGCTAATTAAAGCTTTTTGGACTTCTTGTATTTTATTTTCTGCATTATGAGTAAGTTACTTTTCAGCTATTTCAACTAATCTTACCTTTTTTCAGCTAAATCATCTTTTGTAATAATTTAAGCTTCTCACTGCTTAATTGAGCAAACACACTCTTTTTAATTCTTTGTGCTATATTTAGCTTTTTTGCTGCTTTTTAGCTACTGTTTTTGCTAATTTCTGCTTTTTTAGCTATTTTATGTCAAATTGCAAAAAAAAATCTGAAAATATCTTTCAGCATCAAGCATTCATGCCGCATTTATTTTCCAGAAAATACAGATTCCCTAGTTTACTTGTGTTTTTAAGTCCTACATCTTAATGAACAAGGCTTTACTCTACAATTAAATATATCTTTCAACCGAGCTTTAAAATACAAATATATATTTTATGAATAGCACAGGTTTTGCAGCTGCAGGGTCAGATATCATATTGCAGTGAGATCAGTTTCTCAGAAGTTCAGACATGAATTTGAGTTTCTGTTCCAGTCAGCTCATTCCTTCCATGGAAACATGATGATTGTGGCACCTCCGTTATTGAGTCTCGTTGAAGATAAAATACAATAGAATCTTTGCTTTATTCCAGTGAACTCAAACTCCAATATCGCTGAGTCCTGTCAGGTTTCCGCCACATCTCCTTCCTGTCTAAACTTTCAGCACTATGAGTGGATGTAATAAAAATCTGAAGCAGAGAAGATATCAACAGCTTGTGGCACAATGCTCTGTTCATTTTCGATACGAGGTACAAAAGTAATAGAGCGTGATGCTGAACGGTCCACTGCTGTAAATTAGATTTACTGTATGTGTGCCTATATGATTCAAAACATGGAACAGTCATCCCTCAAGACAAAGGGCTTTGTTTAGCATCAAAACTGCACCTTTTATTACGTGACAAGATTCCATTTAACCTCGACGACGTGAAAGGCAAGTGTGAAAAGGGAAGGCTGAACGAGGGGAAAGCAATCATCCAACAAAGCTAATCTCTCTGCTGTCCTTTGGGAGGACAGTCGCTGCACCAGAGGAACATCCTCGACATCATCCTGATGCAACGAGCAAACAATATCAAAACAAAAACCGCTTTCTGCATATTTTAGTTTTGAAAGCAAATCAATTTGATGTATTTTTTGTCATAACCCATAGCCTTTTAACACAATSCAATTTTTATCAAAACCTCATCCCGGCTGATTCTTTTCTTAAAATAATAGGAGGAAAAGAAGTTCACAGTTTAAACAGATCTTATTACTTATTTTTGAAGAAAACTGCTATCATCATCATTTAAAACTCTGGTCTGAAAAGTGGTGGGACTTATGCATTTCTTCAAGTAATGCTAGGCCTGTAACTTTTTAAAAGCGTTATCATTCTCTCTGGATGAGATAAACACAACTATGCAGGCATATATTAGCACAGATTTGACTCATGAGAGGTTTTTAAAGAGGTAGTTTCTTCAAGGTCAGTAAGGGTTAATGGAGCACCCACACAACAATTCAACCCAGAGAGGGTGAATGTTTAATAACAGGAAAGAGCATTTATTTGTCGAAAATAGTAGAAATGAGCTCAGATATGTAATGGAGCACCTGCCAGCTTACTTTTTTCAGAAAAAAGTGTTTTTGCGTATGGATTAATTGGGTTGTTGCTGCTCTGTGCAGCTGCTGAAATCAGCACAAATTGACTGTTTCAATTACATGATGCTGCACAGCCGTGATTAGGTTYAACAGCTGCCCGTGGCCATCTCGCCTCAACAAGATGCAAAGCTGTTCTTCTTTTACGTTAGCTTTGTCCACCTGAAAACAAACATTTAAACGCTAACTGCCGCTTTTAAACACCTCTGTTACAACTGTCATCTGATAACGATCAGAGGAAGGAGTCAGAGTCAAATCTGCTCAGAAATCATCTGTGTTTGGCAAATCTGTTTCTGAGGGTTCAACCTGAATGTTGCTTTTTTAAAACCTTATTTCCTCACATTAGGTTACAATAAGCTGCAGAACATATCTGRCACAGGAGAGCCTGACTGAGTGATTATGACGCACTTGGACAATTTGCAGGGCTGTAATTTCAAATATGCTAATATGGCATTTTAGAAAAAGAGAAGATGAGACAATACTCCGGCCCAATCAGCGACAAACCTCGAAATCCCAGCGCAAATGATTGTCCCTCGCCCGTTTGCAAACTCCAGTTTCATTTTATATTTGTTTTAGAGAATAAACTCAGCAGTCGTCTCGAGTTTAAATGTGTTTTTTTTTTCCTTGCCACATTTTGATCTTGCCACTCTTTTCTGAACTCCTCAYCCCCCTGAGGTAACATTAGAACTGGACTCAGCGATGCCATTCTCATCAGCTGCTCTGTTGTCTCAAAGTGTTTGTCGTGTCAACAGAACAGAACGGATCCCCGATCGGCCTCATCAATAAACACGTCTGGCGATTTGCCTCCTGAGAAAACAAACAGCGAGGAACTGTGTCCTGGTTCATTGTGGAGATAAATGTTTGCATTAGATGTAGAAATAATTTTCAGACAATTACAGAAGTAATTTTTCCCCCTTCTTCATTTGGGCGACATTAGGAGACAATCTGTACGTTCTATGAGCACAGTGGYGGATCTAGGATTTTTCTAAGGGGCCATCAAGGGGSCACAATATTCATAGAGGGGCCAAGTCTTTGTTCAACATCCTTTCACACAAATTCCCAGTGTATACAATTTACACTTCAAACACTTGTAATGTAATGACATTTTTTTAAAAAGATACCACTTTACAATAAGGCCCCCCTTATAGATGGCTTTTAAAGAGTTTATAAATAGGTTGTTAATTAATCTGTAAACACTTTAAAAAGTATTAATAAGTGTTTATTATGCAATTATTAAGGACGAGAAAGACACAAAATTGTCCAGTTTCATTTATTAATGATTTATGAAGTGTAAGCTTTACAAATTAATTAATAACCTGTCTATAAACTCTTTACAAGCCATCTATAAGGGGAGCTTGATTGCATAGTGGTACCAAAAATCTTGCACAGTAAATTCTCCTCACCAGTTTTTCATACATTTTACTCAGAGTTGTAAAGTAACTAAGTACAAATACTAAGTTCCTGTACTTAAGTAGAAATTTTGGTTATCAGTACTTTACTTGAGTAATTATT